CGCACGGTGAGGCCAAAAATTAACTGAAAGTGAAAGTGAAGTCGCTCAGTTGTGTCCAACTCTTGGCTGCCCCATGGACTGTAGCCTAACAGGCTCTTCCATCCATGGGTTTCCAGGCAAGAGCGCTGGGGTGGGGTGCCGTTTCCTTCTCCAGGAGATCTTCCCAACCCAGGGATTGAAACCAGGTCTCCCGCGTTATAGGCAGACGCTTTACCCCCTGAGCCACCAGGGAAGTTGGATAAAAATTAATTAACCAACGAATTTACATGAGGGGGAGCGCTGGCCTTGGAGTACGGAATGCAGCAGCGCAAAGGCTAACAGAGCTCTGCCAAGAGAACGCACTGCTCATAGCAAACACCCTCTTCCAACAACACAAGAGAAGACTCCACACGTGGACAGCACCAGATGCTCAACACCGAAATCAGACTGATTATATTCTTTGCAGCCAAAGATGGAGAAGCTCTATACAGTCAGCAAAAACAAGACTGGGAGCTGACTGTGGCTCAGACCATGAACTCCTTTTTGCCAAATTCAGGCTTAAATTGAAGAAAGTAGGGAAAACCAGTAGATCATTCAGGTATGACCTAAATCAAATCCTTTATGATTATACAATGGAAGTGAGAAATAGATTCAAGGGATTAGATGTGATAGACAGAGTGCCTAATGAACTATGGATGGAGGTTCATGACATTGTACAAGAGACAGGGAGCAAGACCATCCCAAGAAAAAGAAATGCAAAAAGGCAAAATGGCTGCCTGAGGAGGCCTTACAAATAGCTGTGAACAGAAGAGAAGTGAAAGGCAAAGGAGAAAAGGAAAGATATACCCATTTGAATGCAAAGTTCCAAAGAAGAGCAAGGAGAGATAAGAAAGCCTTCCCCAGCGATCAATGCAAAGAAATAGAGGAAAACAATAGAATGGGAAAAACTAGAAACCTCTTCAAGAAAATTGGAGATACCAAGGGAACATTTCATGCAAAAATGGGCTCAATAAAGGACACAAATGGTATAGACCTAACAGAAGCAGAAGGGATTAAGAAGAGGTGGCAAGAATACAAAGAAGAATTGTACAAAAAAGATCTTCATGACCCAGATAACCACGATGGTGTGATCACTCACCTAGAGCCAGACATCCTGGAATGTGAAGTCAAGTGGGCCTTAGAAAGCATCACTATGAACAAAGCTAGTGGAGGTGATGGAATTCCAGCTAAGCTATTTCAAATTCTGAAAGACAATGCTGTGAAAGTGCTGCACTCAATATGCCAGCAAATTTGGAAAACTCAGCAGTGGCCACAGGACTGGAAAAGTCAGTTTTCATTTCAATCCCAAAGAAAGGCAATGCCAAAAAATGCTCAAACTACCGCACAATTGTACTCATCTCACACACAAGTAAAGTAATGCTCAAAATTCTCCAAGCCCAGCCTTCAATAGTATGTGAACCGAGATCTTCCAGATGTTCAAGCTGGTTTTAGAAAAGGCAGAGGAACAGGAGATCAAATTGCCAACATCCGCTGGATCATTGAAAAAACAAGAGAGTTCCAGAAAAATATCTACTTCTGCTTTATTGATTATGCCAAACCTTTGACTGTGTGGATCACAATAAACTGTGGAAAATTCTGAAAGAGATGGGAATACCAAACCACCTGACCTGCCTTTTGAGAAATCTGTATGCAGGTCAGGAAACAATAGTTAGAACTGGATATAGAACAGACTGGTTCCAAATAGGGAAAGGAGTACATCAAGGCTGTATATTGTCACCCTGCTTATTTAACTTATATGCAGAGTACATCATGAGAGATGCTGGGCTGGAAGAAGCACAAGCTGGAATCAAGATTGCCAGGAGAAATATCAATAACCTCAGATTTGCAGATGACACTACCCTTATGGCAGAAAGTGAAGAAATAAAGAGCCTCTTGATGAAAGTGAAAGAGGAGAGTGAAAAAGTTGGCTTAAAGCTCAACATTCAGAAAACTAAGATCATGGCATCCGGTCCTATCACTTCATGGCAAATAGATGGGGAAACAGTGGAAACAGTGGCAGATTTTATTTTCTTGGACTCCAAAAACAGTGCAGATGGTAACCGCAGCCAGGAAATAAAAAAACACTTGCTCCTTGTAAGAAAAGTTATGACCAACCTAGACAGCATATTAAAAGGCAGAGACATTACTTTGCCAATAAAGGTCCACATAGTCAAAGCTATGGTTTTTCCAGCAGTCACACAGGGATGTGAGAGTTGGACTACAAAGAAAGCTGAGTGCCGAAGAACTGATGCTTCTGAACTCTGGTGTTGGAGAAGACCCTTGAGAGTCCCTTGGACTGCAAGGAGGTCCAACCAGTCCATTGTAAAGGAAATCAGTCTTGAATATTCATTGGAAGGACTGATGCTGAAGCTGAAACTCCAATACTTTGGCCACCTGATGCGATGAACTGACTCCTTGGAAAAGACCATGATGCTGGGAAAGACTGAAGGCAGGTGGAGAAGGGGAAGACAGAGGATGAGATGGTTGGATGGCATCACTGACTCAGCATAACTGAGTTTGAGTAAACTCCAGGAGCTGGCGATGGACAGGGAGGCCTGGCGTGCTGCAGTCCACGGGGTTGCAAAGAGTCAGATATGACTGAGCAACTGAACTGAACTGAACTGAATTTAAGTGACTTTGAACAAAGAGAGATGTTTGTGGGAGCAGTGGGTTGCCCATCTGTGAGAGGAGGGTGGACCCCCTTCATACACGGCAATGAGAAAATGGCAATCTGTGTGGATAAGAGTGAACTGGTTTCATTCTTCACAACAGAGGCCAAAAAACCTCAAACTTAGGCAGTTTAGAGATTTCAGCATGAAAGGCAAAACTCTAAAACTTAACAAGAATAAAGGAGAACTGCTTTTGTAACCTGAGTGGGTAGAGATTTCATAATAAGTCCAAAGACCACTAGACACAGCAAAAAGTTCCATCGATTTCGCTCCATTAAGGGAATAAATTCTGTTTCTTAAAATCCTGCATATACTCTCCGTATTTAAAAAACACATACTGAAATATTTGCAAGCAAGTGAAGAGGAATTGATGTTTTGATGCAAAATGGATTCAAGCAACTGTGGCAAAAACAAAACAAGACACCAAAAAGGAAAGTGACGAGGTAAGCCCCTCACTGCAGCCCACAGCGCTCAGGACGGGATTCAGAGCCAGAACAGGCCAAGAGCTCTCACAAACCAACAAGGAAACGACAGTGACGCGATGGAAACATGGATGAAGGCAGGAACAGGGATTACACAAGAGGAAACACAAATGACAAATAAATATTAGCCTATTGTGAGCTCATCCCCTAAGCAAACTCAGAAATGCAAAAGGGCACAGGGAGGTACCGTCTCCACCTGAGACCTGCCAGGTAGCACGAAGCAAGACGCGGACAACAGCAGGGCTGAGGCCATGGCCCAAGGCTGGAGACTCAGCTGGAGGGTGTGTGAGAAATGCACGCAGCTCCTGGGGGTGGCCGCGCACCCCAGCACCTGGCATACCCCACGCAGGTGTCTAATCGTCCCCAAAAGCCTTTGCTTAGCAGCTACTTTGTACTGATGCTTTCAACACAGCTTCTCAATTAACCTTTTCATACTGTTCATGGGGTTCTCAAGGCAAGAGCACTGAAGTGGTCAGCCATTCCCTTCTCCAGTGGACCACGTTTGTCCCACTTAACCATCCCGGAAATTATACGGGGATCGTCATTGTGGAGGCGAGGCCATAGAGACGCAACGTGGTCCGCCCCAGCTCACCCAGGAGGGATGGAAGCTTGCAGATGAACAAACCCAGGAGGCAGGGGCTCGGGAACCACCCTGCCCGTCAGCGGCATTGACGCTGACATGCCCTGGGTGCCGGGTCCCGGAGATAAAGGCGAGCATGTTACTTGTACCGGAGGCAGCGTGCAAACATTCACATGGCTCAGTTAGTAAAGAATCCGCCTGCAATGCAGGAGACCCCGGTTTGATCCCTGGGTTGGGAAGATCCCCTGGAGAAGGGAAAGGCTGCCCACCCCAGTGTTCTGGCCTGGAGGATCCCCTGGACTGTATGAGCCACGGGTTGCAAAGAGCTGGCGAGGCCAGAGCGACTTTCACGCCCACAAAGGCTCACTTTTCTTTTTTTGAGACGGTTGGAAACATCTGTCCCTATGTTACCGACAGGAGTGATCGGCTTAAGCGCAAGCCTTGAAGCTGTCTCTGCATGATCTGGCGACTCTTGGTTAACCACCTTGCCTGTGGGAGCTCTCTCTCCCCGACAATGAAGTCGGAAAAGCCCTCACAATTATTGAACAGTCGATGTAGAAGCCAGGACCCCCACCGTCCTGGAAGGTGAGGCCCTTGCGAAGCTGGAGGTCCAGAGGAGAAAGAGACACAGCCAAGCCCCTGGGGGCCTGGCCACACGGGCCAGGTAGCCGGCGGGCCTGGGCCCCTGAGCAGTGAGGCTCCACGCCCAGCCCAGCCGCCCACTTGGACAACACAGGCAAGGGGCAGGGGCCAGCCCTCTGCCCTGGTCTGGTGGGGAACACGGAGCAGCTGCGTGCAAGGACCCCCGAGGTCAACTCTATGCCACAACTGAGGAGCGGGGGACTCTGGCCTCTCACTTACGCTTGCTGTGTCTCAGCTTCCGCCCCCGAAGACCCAGAGTTAATCTACGTAAAGCCCTTGGAAAAGAGCCGGACACGCGAGCCCAAGCTCGTGTCAGCCAATGTGACTGCTATGGCTTGAAACAGTATCAACATTCGGGGAACCCCAGCCGTCCCCCGACATCAACAGGGTTCCAGATTTCATGCATGCCCCACACTGCTCCCCACTCCGGCACCCATCTTGCCTTCCTCAGTCCACTGATGACCTTGTCCTGCCCTGGCTCAGACCAGAAACCCTGGAGTCTGCAGCAGCCAGGCCAGCCCAGATGACGCCAACAGACCACACACGTCCCAAGGGCTTCAGATGAGCGAGTTTGGCTTGTGTTCCCGCTTTCTCGTTGCATCGCGCGAGGACCCGGGACGACAGGCTTCTCTGTACGCTGGCTCTTGGGCTGCTGCCCAGAGGGACACGGGGGTTCCCGCCCCACGTCCTGGCCGCGGGCCCCGTGGCCACGTCTGCCTCCCGCAGCGGGAAGCGCGACCCCCCTTGGGGAGATACCATGCGCATCTGTGACATCAGCACTGTGGCCAGAGTCACCTGTGACCCCCCTTTCTCATGCCCACCTCCACCACGCCATCAGCAAGTCCCGTTGGCGCTGCCCCCCAGCACAGGGGAGCCCCACCCCTCCCCACCGCCCACTGCCCTCCCCCCAGCCCCCCTCCCCAGGCACAGCCTCTCTGGCCAGAGCGCCAGCCGCCTCCCCCAAGCTGGTCCTGCCGCCTCCATTCTGTCCCCAAAGACCGCTCCAACTCCGCAGCCTGTGAGAGTGAAAGTGTTAGGCACTCAGTCCAGCTCTTTGCAACCACATGGACCACAGCCCGCCAGGCTCCTCTGTCCATGGGATTCTCCAGGCAAGAACACTGGAGTGGGTTGCCATGCTCTCCTCCAGGGGATCTTTCTGACCCAAGGATCGAACCTGGGTCTCCTACACTGAAAGTGGGTTCTTAGCTGGCTGAGCCACCAGGGAAGCCCCTAACTCAGCAGCCATGGAGACCCTTCAAGTGCAGATCAGATCGTGCCTTGCTTAAAAATCCACCAACATCCCCATCCTCAGCCAGTGAGTGGTCCCCACAGACACCTTCTGCAGAGCTTGTGGCCAAGTGCACCTCAGGCATGGCAAGACGCCGCCTGGGAGGCCCGCTGCTGGGGACTGACCCCAGAGAGGTCGTTAAGGATGCAGGAAGAGACGCAGCTTTGAAAGATTCATGACCGTGCACGCTAAGTTGCTTCAGGCATGTCCTACTCTTTGCAACCCTGTGGTCTGTAACCCACCAGGTTCCTCTGTCCATGGGATTCTCCAGGCAAGAACACCGGAGTGGGTTGCCATGCTCTCCTCCAGAGGATCTTCCCCACTCAGGGATCGAACCCGTGTCTCTTACGTCTCCTGCATTGGCAGGCAGGATCTTTACCACTAGCGCCCCCAGAGCCCGCAGGGGACCCTCTGCAGCGGCAGATCCTGACAACTGTGCTACGTAACTGAGTCACATGGCACAGGAGTTGGATGAAGAGCAGCGTTTCCCCCGTAGCTCAGATGTGCACACCCTTCTGGGTGGCCCTGTGAGCCCTAGGGGAAAACGAGGAATGCCCAGAAGGGTGTGTCCTGAAGGCTGTGCCAGGCTCGCCAGCGACATGCCTCAACCAGGCGACCTCGAGCAGCCCGCATCTTCTGGAAGCTCATCCATAAGCCAGTATTTTCCCACCTCGGTGAAGAATTTCCCACCCGGCACTTGTCCCGTGCCCCCTCTTCCAGGCAGTCCTCCCACCAGCACCCGTCTGCACCTCCCTCCTGCTCCAGCCTTGGGGCGATGAGGACCAGGCTGAGTCACACCCACTGGGGAGGCACGAGACAGAGGACGCCAGTTGTCTCGGGACCCTAGGATCCCCCCGTGTGACTTCCCAGAGACAACGCATCCTCTGTGATTCCATGGGCCCAGGACCCTCCCCCACACACCCTCCGCTTTCCCTGGGCTCAGAGCTGGGCGCTGCCATCCAGGGACCCGGGCAGGGCCAGTGCAGAGTGGTGCCTCCTGGGTGTTTGATGGTGACGGGGGCACTGGCGTTCCCACCCATTCTCTATGTGTCAGCTGCCCTGCACTCCAGGGCTGAGCAGAACCCGTGGGCAGGGAATGACCTCTGCCATGAACCCAAACCTGAAGCGCTGGGCCTTTCCCGGGAGCCCGGAAACTAGGCCTCCGGGCAGCTCCTACCCCACGTTCCCCAGCTCCTTGCCGGGCGGAGCCGTCTTCCCAGCTTCCAAACTGCCAGAGTCCACGTCCCTGAAGCAGCTCTCCCCTCCCCTCTTCCCACGTGACAGACGATCAGACGGTTTCAGGGAATTAAAGCAGCCCAGTCCCTGGTGAATTTGCTGTGGTCTCTCCTATCAGAGAAATAGCAGCTGAATTTCATACCCTATCTTGGAGGTTTGTCAAGTTTGGGGGTTTAAAAGAACTTCTTCAAATTAATTATTTCACATGATTAATATATGAAATGCATGAAACACAGTCACATAGACAGTCACATGAAATAGAACCAGAGAGCACCTTCCCCGAGGCCTCGAGGCCCTTAGACACCCCATTCTGAATTGCTCCATGGAATTCCGATCTACTGATGGTGCTGAATTTATCTCAATTATTCCTTAGTGTTAGACGTGCAAGTGGTTTCTCATCTTTTCTGAGGGTCATATCTATTGTATAATTTTTAATAACCAGGACCTCAGAATGTCAGCACCATTTTTCTCCATATTCAGTATTCCTTAAAATGACGCTTGTAATCTCCTGTTACGTAGATTCTTATTAAAGCTCTGATGATTGTATCTATTGTATGATTTTTACTAACTAGGACCACAGGATATCAGCATCCTTTTTTTCACCATATTCAATAATCCTTAAAACGACGCTCGTAATCTATGGTTGCATGCGCTCTTATTCTGTGGGTGAACTTGTGTGGGCTGATGCCCTGTAAAGGGTCCCTGGTTCCCAGCAGAAGGAGGCAGCACGGGGCAGGACCTGCCCAGGGGGACCTCGTGCACCAACCCCTTCCACCTGAGAGCGCACCGCCTACATCCACTACCACTGCCCACTCCCTGGCCCCCACCCTCGGGACAGCGTTGAACTTGGCTTCCACTCCTTCTGGGGACCTTCCTGGGTGCAGACGACTAGTCAGAAGCACCCCCAAGAGGTGCCCCCAAGTCACCTGTGCTCTGGGCACCAGGGTAGAGGTGGTCACCCCCGCCTCTCTTCCTCCTGCCCCCTCCACAGCCACTGACCCCTGAAACCCCAGCTCCAGGGTCGCCGTGTCCTCTGAGCCTGTCTCAGGGCTGCCCTGACTGCTCTGGAGGTCAGTGGGGGTGGTCCTCCGGTCTCCAGGGGTGCGTGGGGCCCACGGCACATGTGAGGGAACCACGGTGACACAGGAAGTCAGCTATGCAAGCCCAGCTGCTCTCCCGCTGTGTGGATGTCAGACCGTTTCCATAATTTAAGACACAAGCAGAAAACTCAGCCCAATGGCCACAGCTGGTCAGCCCCATCAGCCAGCAGAGAGAGCTGTACTAACCATCGCCAAGCAGTGGGAGCCCCAAGCACCTGTCAGTCTAAGCCCCTCATGTGGTTTTTGCTTTTTGGTTTTTGGATTGGCATGTATGTTTATTTGTTCTAAATTTGACTTCGTAATCAGTATTTTAAAACCAGAACATTTTCCCAGCTATCCAAACTTCAGCCTTCTCTTGAAAGGTCTGGAGCTTGGCCTGTATGGGGCCTGTGGCCCACTGGCAGGTTGATCGGGAAACAGCACGGAGGCCAAGGCAGGGGGGTGTGGGGTGGCAGTGCTGCTGCAGGCTATGCCAGGGCCCAGGGCCCCAGCCTGGCCACAGCCCTGCTGCAGGTTCTGTCTGCCAGTGGCCTGCCAGGGGCCAACGCGGACCTGGAATGAGGTGCCATCCCTGGGGCCCAGGTTGGTAGGATGATTCCACGAAAATGAAAGTTGCTCCGTCGTGTCCGACTCTTTACGACCTCGTGGACTACACACTCCGTGGAATTCTCCAGGCCAGAATACTGGAGTGGGTAGCCTTTCCCTTCTCCAGGGGATCTTCCCAAGCCAGGGATCGAACCCAGGTCTCCTGCATTGCAGGTGGGTTCTTTACCAGCTGAGCCACAAGGATGAGTCCTTGAGATCCTTCCTTCCAAAATGAGGGGTCGGGGAAAGATTGTGATGAAGCTGCACTTGTAACGCTGCAACCTGCCCACGTGGAGTTGAAATCCTGTCCTCAGCTGTGAACACCCTCCTGGGGACAGGCAGGTCTGCCAGGGTCTTCCTAAACGCAGGGAGGGCCCAGCACCGCTCTCCATGGTGCTGAAGAAAGCCCTCGTCACTGCCGCAGCCTCCCATTCCACCCAGGAACTCAATCTCCTCTGAAAGCAGTGCAGCTACGGACTTATGTCCATGGATTTCACTGGCCCAGCACACAGCACATCACCTGGACATGGCTGGCCTGACACAGAGCAGACACAGTCCCGGAGCTATGAGGGTGCTGCCCTGAAGATGCAGCGCGTGTCTTAAACCAATGGCCAGTACCAGGTCTTATTTCCTGCAATCCCTCATACACAATTGGAGGCCAAAGTTTGGAGATGAGAACCACCCTCTTGCTGTTACTCCAGGTAACCCACTTAAAGTGTGCTGCTGTCTAGCCCTGGGCTTTGGACTTGCTAGAGACCTGAGAGCTTCAATTTCCCAGGAAAGGATGCTTCTTGCGGGAGCACAGCATGTTCCCTCAGTCTGGAAGCTGGGGTCTCCTCCTGGCCTCTCCTGCTATAACATGAGGCCAGCGGGCAGAGAAGTTATTCCTCTACCACCATGGTCATCAAGGGGATGCGCGGGGAGACCAGCGCAGTGGGGGCACTCTGGCTGGAACCCAGGCGATTCAGTGAGGGGGTCTCAGAGTGTAGCCCTGCTCGGCAATAAGGGATGAAAGAAAACTCAGCACCCAGTGCAGTTACTGTTGTTGTTCAGTAGCTAAGTCATGTCCCACTCTTTGCGACCCCCACGGACGGCGACACAAGCTCCTCTGCCCTCCGGCATCTCCCGGAGTCGGGTCAAACTCATGTCCGTTGAACCAGTGATGCTACCTAACCATCTCATCCTCTGTCGTCCCCTTCTCCTCCTGCCTTCAGTCTTTCCCAGCATCGGAGTCTTTCCCACTGAGTCGGCTCTTCACATCAGGTGGCCAGAGTATTGGAGCTTCAACTTCAAGCAACAGTCCTCCCAGTGAACATTCAGGGTTGACTTCCTTTCGGATTGACTGGTCTGATCTCCTTGCCCTCCCAGGGACTCTCAAGAGTCTTCTCTAGCACCACAGTTTGAAGCTGTCACTTCTTTGGTGCTCAGCCTTCTTAGCAGCCCAGCCCTCACACCCACACATGACACTGGAAAAACCACAGCTCTGGCTAGACGGGCCTTTGTCAGCGAAGGGATGTGTACCACTGTCTAGGCTTGTCATAGCTTTCCTTCCAAGGAGCAGGCATCGTTCAATTTCATGCCTACAACCACCATCTTCAGTGATTTTAGAACCCAAGAAAATAAAATCTGTCACTATTTCCAGTTTTTCCCATCTGTTTGCCATGAAGTGATGGGACCGGATGCCACGATCTTAGTTTTCTCAATGTTGAGTTTAAGCCAGCTTTTACACTCTCCTCTTTCACTTTCATCAAGAGGCTCTTTAGTTCCTCTTTGCTTTCTGCCATAACGGTGGTGTCATCTGCACACCTGATATTTCTCCTGGCAATCTTGATTTCAGCTTGTGCTTCATTCAGCCCGGCATTTCACATGATGTACTCTGCATACAAGTTAAATAAGCAGGGTGACAATATACAGCCTTGACGTGCTCCTTTCCCTATTTAGAACCAGTCCATTGTCCCATGTCTGGTTCTAACTGTTGCTTCTTGACCTGCATACAGGTTTCTCAGGAGACAGGTAAAGTGGTATGATATTTCCATCTCTTTGAGAATTTTCCACAGTTTGTTGTGATCCACACAGTCGAAGGCTTTAGCACAGTCAATAAAGCAGAAGTACGTGTTTTTCTGGCATTCTTTTGCTTTTTCAATGATCCAACCATGACCATGTAAACTTGTTCAGTCATGTCTGACTCTTCGTGATCCTATGGGCTGTAACCTACCAGGCTCCCCTGTCCATGGGATTTTACAGGCAAGTGTACTGGAGTGGGTTGCCGTTTCCTTCTCCAGGGGATCTTCCCGACCCAGGGGTCGAACCCAGGTCTCCCGCATTGCAGGCAGACGCTGTATCATCTGAGCCATCAGAGAAGCCCTCGATGAACCCAACGGATGTCGGCAATTTGATCTCTGGTTCCTCTGCCTTTTCTAAACCCGGCTTGTACATCTGGAAGTTCTTGGCTCACGTACTGTTGCAGCCTGGCTTGGATTTTGAGCATAACCTTACTAGAGGCACCCCAGAGTCTGTTTCTGTTGTGTGGATAGGCTCAATTTATGCCATGTGTAAGATTCCACATGTAAGCGATACCATGTGATACTTGCCCTTCTCGGTCTGACTCACCTGGCTCAGTGTGATCCTCTCTAGGCCCATCCATGTTGCTGCAAACGGCAACATTTTATTCTTTTTAGGCTGAGTGACACTTCACTGCGTACTTTATGCACCACATCTTTGTCTGTTTATCTTCTTTGTCTGATGGACACTAAGGTTGCTTCCATGACTTGGCTACTGTAAATAATTCTGCTGTGAAAATAGGGGTGCATGTATCTTTTTTAATTAGAGCTATCATATTTTCCAGATATATGCCCAGGAGTGGAATTGCTGGATCATATGGCAATTCTATTTTTATTTCAAAAATGTAGCTTTTGAAGAAGACATTTCCATAGATGGGCAATACAGGTTTGTCACAGCTGGAAAATGGGACTGGCAATGATTAGAACGTAACAGAAGTGATTTCCCAGGAGCACAGAGAGCAGGTTAGAGAGACAGGGTGATGGCAGGCCCTAAGCGGCACGCAGGCTAGTTTAGGGGAACTCAGTATGAACCAGAAGCTGTACTTCTGGTGAGAAAAGATAGATAACCCAGGGGCCAGTTCTCAGGGGATGATGGGAGTTTTCCAGAAGGGTGAAAGACAGGCGTCCTCAGACTGAAAATAGAACGCGTACGGCAGGTGGAGCGGGTAAGACAAGAAAGAATATCTTGAAACCCCCAAACAGAGATGCTGGTGAAGGTCAAACCAAAAGCTACCATCCCATCAGTAACAACCAGAGGCCAGGGAACGAGAGAGAACGCGGTCCTCATGTTGAGGACAGGTGAACCCAGCCTCCTGTGCACAGAACTCAACAAAGGTGCAGACCGAGCCACGTGCCACACCCCTCGCCACACGCCCCATGCCAACTTGTTGAAAAGCCACCAGCCTGGGGCGTGGAGACCCTGGCCCCATTGGGAGGATAAGCCGCCATCCGCCGGGCACCTCAGTGTCTCCCGGGGTTTCTTCCAGGAAAGCACAGGACATCACTGTCCCCCGTCTCCAGGAGGAGGGTCCAGAGAATGACCACCGAGGCCCGGCCAGCTCTCCCAGCCCCAGACCAGTGCCCCTACCACAGGACAGAACCGCGGTCCCCTAGCCGAGCCAATTACACATAAATCTACTGAGCAAACAGCTCGGCCGGAACCACAGTCAGATCCTTATTTATAAGGAAAAGGGCCAAGAATCACTTTAATTTTTGTCAGGTCGAGGCTGAGTTGCTCTGCTTCCGCAGTGGCTGGCGGGGAACGGTCTCCACTCATCCATTATGCATCTTCACCGAATCTGATGGCTCGTGGCCACCTCCCCTCCTCTGGTTTTGATAAAAGAGCGCTGCACAGCCATTGTGACAGGGATGTGTGTTTGTCTAAATTATTTAAGGGGAGGAATGTGGGCTCGGGGCAGGAGCCAATGACGCTTTCTGCGGCTTCTCATTTCCATCAGGGGCTGCAGCTGCAGATAAGAGTGGCCTTGCCCAGGTCCGAGGGCAGAGTACCCACGTGGATGCCCTTGGTCACCATGCCCCAGCCTTTCCCAGCCCGCCAGGGCAGGGCGGGGGGCGGCGAGGCCCTCGGGGGTCTGCTGGCTGGGCCGGGAGTGGAACTTGCACCCTCTGCAGGAGCAGGGGGCAGAGCTGGGGGCCAGCGCTGAGTCTGGACTCACCCGTCCCGTGAACCCAGAGGAGGCACTAGGAACGTGCAGCGGGATCATGAGGTTGTTGGCATTTTTCTGTCTGGAGTTTTCACATGGGGCACAATGACCCAGAGACTCAGTGAGGGGAGAGGTTCCCAAGGCCCCTGGCTTCAGGCGGCCCCTCTGCCCACCCTCGTCCACCCCAGATCCTGCAGAAATCTCAGAACACAGGCCTGATGCTCCCCACATTTCATCACGGACGGGGCGAGAGCCAGAAGCTGCTGAGTGGAGCCCCGTCCTCCTCCAGGCTGAGAGACCGGTGGAGGATCAACCCTGAGCCCACGTGTCCAGCCCACTCCCACTCATCCCCCACCGCCTCGGGGGACCCCCCAGGCCTCCTCACTCCCAGAGCTGACCTCAGGCCTGGCTGGCAAAAGGGGACCAGGTGCCCGTGAGAGGTGTGTCTCTGTGGCCCCCTCCCGGCAAGGACTTGAAGGTCATCGAGGTCCTGGTGTTGGACCTCACTCAGCCCAGGGGAGAGGCTGGGGCCTGAGGATCTCAGAGCAAGTCTGCAGGGGTTGCAGCCCCAAGCCCAGCAGGGCTGAGTCCCAGGACCACTGCCTGGTCCCCAGAGCCCCGGGGGTGAACCTCGGGAGAACGGCCCTGAGATGCCGAGGCCGGGTCTAGCAGGACGGGGGGCAGGGAGGCATGCCTCCTCACCTCCTCACCTCCTCGTCCACACTCTGAATCTCTTCCAGGGGAGCCCAGCAGGCGTCACTTCGTGGAACACAACTTGTCTCCTCCATGGCCAAGCAGGGGAACCCCAGAGCTGGGGTGTCCTCAGGGCGAGACGAGTCAGACGGGGTGGGCCGCGGGGCTCCTGTTCCAGGCCAGCGCCCCTGGGGAGGAGCAGGGAGCCGCCGGGCCTCCTCACCCCCAGGCTCTGGCGAGATGCTAGTGCACGTGGGTCTCGGGGCCCAGGGCCGCAGAGTGACCACACGTGCCCCCAGGTAGCAGCAGCGCTGCTCATGGGCGCCGCGCTCGCTGCCCGTCTCCTCGGGCTCCTCCCCCTCCCCCACCGCGTCCTGCCCATTCTACAGGTGGGCAAGTAGAGCCCCGGCAGTGCCGAGCCCCGATTCCCACCCAGGCCTGTGACTCCACAGCTCAGACTCCACACAGGGCCCCGGCAGCTGTCCCGGCGCAGGGAACCCGGGCGGGCGGCTGCATGGGGAGCTCCGGGCAGGAGGTGGAGGGGGCCCCAGCAGAAAGTCTGGACCCACTCTCCAGCAGCAAAGGGTTACACGCTTGGCAGGGGAGAGGAGCCGGCCAAGCACAAAGAGCCCCTGAGCAGATGCCCCAACGACCCGGAGCGTGAGAATTTAATCAGGCTGCCGGAGTGAAACCCACCGAGCGGTCGTCATGCTCCAGAGCGTGGAGTCCCCAGAGCTCTGGGTCTGGAGGGAACCTGGAGGCCCCCAGTCTCACCCCATCTGACCCTGCACCACGCGGGTGCCTCCTCAGGGCGCCAGCTGCCTCTGCCGGCAGCCACACCCCGGGGGCTCAGGACATTGGAAGCAATCTCTCCACCCGCCCCCCCAGGGGAGCTGGGACTGTCCCGGGGAGGTGGCCTCGAAGCCAGCGGCTCGCCGCGCCCGGATCAGCTCTCAGCCACTGGACGCGGGGTCCCTGGGGTCCCTCCACTCTTCTCTGAAGACCAAACTCCCACAGCAGCAAACAAAGAGCATCTCATGGTACTCGCGGCTACAGGTCCCGAGAGCGTCTCTGCGTCTGCACGACACTGAGCATCGGATCTGATCCCTGCCACAGCCTCATTCTTCCCATCTTATGGATTAGAAACACTGAGGCTCAGAGCGGTTACCTAACCTGGGCTTGGTCTCACAGCTGGATTCCAGCCCTGGCTGGCTGAGCCAGAGCTCGGGACCGTGCTCCTGCCGTCTGTGTCCCCGCCTAGAAAATCATGCAAGCACAGAGACACATGCACACACACACACTCACAGACCACACATATAGTCACACACACAGATGCATAGATACACACACACACACATGCTCACACACAGACACACACACACACACATGCTCACACTGATGCACACACACATGCACACACAGAGACACAGATGCACACACGCACACACAGACCCACAGAAGCTCAGTCATGCACAGACGCGCACACACACACGGCTCAGCGAGCTGTCTCAGAAACCCACTTAGTCTGAACCCGGAGGACTGTGGGCAGACCTGAGCAGGCTCCCCACGTCCCGCGAGCAGACCCCTCTCTCCCAGGCAGCCGTGATCCTGGATGGCTCCGCATCCATGACGGGGATCCCAAGTGACTTCTTTGAAGAAACTGATAAGCTTTAATAAATTTAAGAAATTCCAAAATTCATATAGAAGTGCCAGGGGCCCAGAATAACCAAGACAACCTTGAGAAAGAAGAGCAAAGTGGGGAGACTTACTCCAAACAACCGTGATCAGAGGCCCCCAGGACTTCAGGGCAGGGAGGCCGGGACAGCCCAGCGCCTCTGGGCAGCTGCGAGGTTGTCCAGCACGGAAGCAGCACCTGCGCCGGGAGTCGCCCGGCCGGGATGGGTGCCCAGGGGTGGGCGAGAGGCCCGCGGTGCGCCCTGCAGCCTCCCTGCACCCCCTCCCGGGGCCTCTGGGCTTCAGGCTGGAACAGGAAGAGCCCTGCGCCCAGGAGGCAGAGCTGGGGCAGAAACAGCCACTCAAGCTGCAGTCGGCGAGAGTGAAAGCGCGCCCAAGGAAAGAGAAGCGGGCAGGCATCAGTGCAGGGTGACTGAGGACCGGGCGCCCCCCAGGCTGGCAGGCCCCAGGAGGGCTCTCAGGCCACACGCGAGGGTGAAACCGGGCCAGCAAGTCTGGGGGTGGGGCCGCAGGGATCTGGGGTCGCCGGGGCTTCCAGAGCAGACAGGAAGTTGTTGGAGAGGTGAGCTGGGCTGTCTTGGGCCCTCGGCACGTCTGCTAAGGAAGTGGACCTCTGCCGTGTCCTGAGGTCGCTGGCGGTGGGGACGGGGTCAGGGTTTCATGTTCCGAAGGTGGCCTGGGACGCGGATGCAGGAGAGTGAGCCTCACGCCTGGGGCGCAGATGCAGGAGAGTGAGCCTCACGCCTGGGGCGCGGATGCAGGAGAGTGAGCCTCACGCCTGGGGCGCGGATGCAGGAGAGTGAGCCTCACGCCTGGGGCGCGGATGCAGGAGAGTGAGCCTCACGCCTGGGACGCGGATGCAGGAGAGTGAGCCTCACGCCTGGGAGGCGGATGCAGGAGAGTGAGCCTCACGCCTGGGAGGCGGATGCAGGAGAGTGAGCCTCACGCCTGGGAGGCGGATGCAGGAGAGTGAGCCTCACGCCTGGGACGCGGATGCAGGAGAGTGAGCCTCACGCCTGGGAGGCGGATGCAGGAGAGTGAGCCTCACGCCTGGGGTGCGGATGCAGGAGAGTGAGCCTCACGCCTGGGACGCGGATGCAGGAGAGTGAGCCTCACGCCTGGGAGACGGATGCAGGAGAGTGAGCCTCACGCCTGGGAGGCGGATGCAGGAGAGTGAGCCTCACGCCTGGGAGGCGGATGCAGGAGAGTGAGCCTCACGCCTGGGAGGCGGATGCAGGAGAGTGAGCCTCACGCCTGGGAGGCGGATGCAGGAGAGTGAGCCTCACGCCTGGGAGGCGGATGCAGGAGAGTGAGCCTCACGCCTGGGAGGCGGATGCAGGAGAGTGAGCCTCACGCCTGGGAGGCGGATGCAGGAGAGTGAGCCTCACGCCTGGGAGGCGGATGCAGGAGAGTGAGCCTCACGCCTGGGACGCGGATGCAGGAGAGTGAGCCTCACGCCTGGGAGGCGGATGCAGGAGAGTGAGCCTCACGCCTGGGGCGCGGATGCAGGAGAGTGAGCCTCACGCCTGGGGCGCGGATGCAGGAGAGTGAGCCTCACGCCTGGGACGCGGATGCAGGAGAGTGAGCCTCACGCCTGGGAGGCGGATGCAGGAGAGTGAGCCTCACGCCTGGGGCGCAGATGCAGGAGAGTGAGCCTCACGCCTGGGGCGCGGATGCAGGAGAGTGAGCCTCACGCCATCTGGCAACCCCTGCTCACCCCAAGTCTTCCCTGTGGTGCCCCCACACGCAGAGAACACACCTGGGGGGCCCTGCCCACCCCCCGCCTCTGCTCCACTGAGGGTCCCCTGCCTGGCCAACGCAGAGGCTGCCCGGGGGGGAGCCCCTCCCCTGTCCCTGCCTTAGCTTCCTCCCCCATAAAGTGGGGTCATAGTAGCCTCTGTTCTAAAGCTGGGGCTCGGTAAATATTAAACACCCCATAAATGTCAGCAGCTTTCATTACATAAAATCTGTGTTAATGAGACTCCTGCATAATTTGAGACTGTTTCCTGCCTCAGCTAAACTTTAATATTGAGATGGAAAACCAGGCTTTTTATTTTTATTGGGGATGAGATTTAATTCTCAGTCTTTTGGAAATGCTCAAGAAAGCAGAGAATGTCTCTTTTCAAGAGAATATTGTGCCCTGAATCAAAACGCAGCGTCAAATTATCTTAATGGTTGTTACATAAAGCGCTTGCTTAGTCATTTTCTCTTGCTTAAACTGTTTGTCTGAAACGGGGGAATCTCTTTAGCTCATGGACAGGACTGAAATGAGCTCGGATGCACTTTCATGCCAAGGAAATTAACAGTAAGGGTGCAGCAGCTGGGAGCCCTAAAACCTTATCACTGCAGGGACAGCATCAGTCAAGGCTCCTCTGGCCCAGTTAGATGTTGTCCCCACCGGCCTGATGGAGTCCAGGGGGTGGCCCTCTCAGTCTCACCGGGGACAGAAACACCTCGGCGTGATTAACCAGGCTCCACCCCTGTGGCCCCGAGACCGGACGAGAGGACCCTCTAGATCCAGGGCCCCCACTGGCCCGGGCATCTCATGCATGGCCAGCAGCTTCACTTTAGAGACAGCAAACTTCACAACGGGCTGGGTTTTGCACGTTTTGCTTTTGAATTCAGTCCACAGAGCTGGACTTAGGGGTATGCAAAGATGAGGCATGCTCCACGTGTGATGCCCGCAGCTTAATCGGGATTTTAATCACAAAATGAATAGCCAATTTGGTCTCCGCAGCTGCAGTGGCTGCCAGGAAGCTGGCCAGTAAAGTGCCCGCACCCCCACCCCCGAGATGGATGGAGCACAGACAGCGCCTCCTGGAGACACTGGACAACACCTGGGGACTCTTCCCTCAGCGCCAGGCGTCCCAGCCGGAAAGACGGCCTCTCTCTACCTGCCTCCTGACCCCTCCATGGGCCACACAGATATCACTCAGACGCCCTCCTTATTTGGACACTGAGGAGGTTCAGTTCAGTTCAGTTCAGTTGCTCAGTCATGTCCTACTCTTTGCGACCCCATGGACTACAGCATGCCAGGACTCCCTGTCCATCACCAACTCCCAGAGCTTGCTCAAACTCATGTCCATTGAGTCTGTGATGCCATCCAACCATCTCATCCTCTGTCGTCCCCTTCTCCTCCCGCCTTCAATCTTTCCCAGCATCAGGGTCTTTTCAAATGAGTCAGTCCTCAGCCCCAAATAAATACTAGAGAAAATCAGTCCTGAATATTCATTAGAAAGACTGATGCAGAAGCTGAAGCTCCAATACTTTGGCCACCTAATGTGAAGAGCCGACTCATTGGAAAAGACCCTGATGCTGGAAAAGATTGAGGGAGAGGACGACAGAGGATGAGGTGTTTGGATGGCATCACATCTAACTATACGCTGAAGACATGACTCCATGGACATGAGTATGAGTAAACTCCTGGAGTTGGTGATGGACAGGGAGGCCTGGCGTGCTGCAGTCCATGGGGTCACAAGGATTCGGACACGACTGAGCAACTGAACTGAACTGAACTGAGGAGCTAGCAGGTGATAAATCCACAGCTCAGACAGGGCAGGACTCATCATTGACCACACACGGCCTTCAGGGCTGGCAGGGCAATGGGCTGGGGTGAGGAAGGGGGGGTGCCGCGGGGACAAGGGGAGACCTAGTACAAGGCCAGACGAGCCCTCGAGAGGGCAAGGCTGGCGGCACTGGGTGGGGGTCAGTCCACGGGACAGCCTCCAAGGAGAGGGACCCCTCGGACTCAGGCTAAAGAGGGCTGGAGGGCAAACCTGGTCAATGCCTGGGTCTCTCAGTAAAGCCTCCCCCCCGACCACCCTGGGCGCCCGTCCAACCTGGGTTATCCTTCCACTGGGCGTAGATGAGAAAACCAAAAGGCCCAACATCCTGCCCATGCAGAAAGGCTTGGGGAGCCCCATTCTGTGTTAGCACTTCACCCATGGGCCTTTCTAAACCTTTATCTCCTGCTCCGCGTTTGAACTCTGCAGAGGCTCCCAGGCCACAGGACGACATCCCAGCACCCCTCTGTCTCGAGAACTGTGGCCTCTGCCAGCTGGGTCCCCGTCTCCTCCTGTCCTAGAAGTGCAGGATGCTCCAGGTACCCGGGTCTGGCCTCCACACCCTGTTCACAGGGTCCCCCATCTGCTCTGTGGTTCCCACCCACCTGGGCCCCCGCCTGCCCCATTCCGCGGGACTCAGCGTAGGACCCCTTCCCACGGAAGCCTTTTCCCCTCTCACTGCCCGCTGTGCTGGGAGCCTCCTCTGCCCTCCCATGGCTCCCGGGCTGCCCGTCCTCTCAGAAATTCCCCCGCCCGTCTCTCCCACGAGGCTCTTTCTGGACCAATCACCCGCACAGGCTACACACTCAGACAGCTCCTGTGGTCCACGGATGGGCGGATGATGGATGGATGAGGTGGGGGGAGGGGTCGGTGGATGGATGTGGGTGGGGGGAGGGGAGCGAGCACACACCTGGATGCCTGGTTGTCCTGAGACCTAAGGTGGTCTGAGTCCCCATAACCTCCTCCACTGACCCAGTCTGCCCCGCAAACAACGCCATGGACTCCAATCACTAATTTTGGGGGTTTTTTTCCCCCTTCAAGTGCTCAGGACTAGCCCATGCCCGCCGGGGATCGGCCAAACCTGTTTCATCTGCTCGCAGCGCCACTGTGCAGGTGACAGGCTTGGCAGTGTTTATCACCGTCCATCCCCCAGCAGACGTGTTTGGCAGACAGCAGATTTTTGTCATCTGCCTTCACTTGGGCTTTGATTGCCGAGTAATAACTCATGCTTACAGGAAAGCTGGACTTCTCAGTAACGATCTTGAAACCAGATCTCTGGGCACTGGCTGTGCATTGAGCCGAGAGGGCCCCAGCATGCCAATGAGGCGCGTCTGCCCGCGGCTGGGAGGGGCTCGCTGTCTGAAGAAGAACTGACTCCCGGAAAGGGTCCTCCTGAGCAGGACCCGGGGTCCCCAGGGCCTGGACCAGGCCTCTGCTCCCTCCCAAACTGCCTCCACCAGGGGGACACCCCAGGGCGTGTCTCCCCCTCCAGGACCTCTGGCCCCCACCCTCACCCACGCTCTGTGGGGCGTCTCTGAGCACGCTCTCCAGACCCACCAGAGGGTGGTCTCGGGGTGGGGGGTGGTCTAGGGAGAGGGACCTGCCCCTGCCCTGGGAGCTGCTGTCCATTGAGCAGACTCTCGGGGAGAAAAGGGTTGGTACCTGCTGGGCGTGAGGGCACCCCCATGACGGCCACCCCCTCCAGGATGCCCAGCACAGGGACACCCCCGACAATCACAGGCCCCCCCGCCCTCCTGGGAGTCCCAGCCGCTCTGCATCCACGTCAGAGAAGCCCTGCCCCCTCCCCATCTGTGAGTGAGGCGGAAACCCTCATGTCACAAGGCCCAGCGATGCATGAAAATGCAGGGCTCTTGTTCGAAACCCGCCGACAATTGAGGCGGGGACGGCAGAGCGTCCGATCCATCCTGAGCTCTCCTGAGAGTGGACCCTCAGAGGACGGACATCCCTGACCACGGACCCCAAGCGAGGGTCTCTGAAGCCCCAGCCCCGCCAGTGGCCCCCCCCACGACGGTGGGCCTTAGAGACTGCACGGCCAGGGTTCCCCAATGGCTCAGAGGGTAAAGAGACTGCATGGGCCACACCTCGCAAAACTCGTCGCCCCGTCACCTGCTCTCACGTCCTTGACTCCAGGACCCTCTAGGGCCTCCCAGTTTGGAGTCATCCACTGCCGGCGGCCCATGCCGTGCGGTGGCAGGCACCAGCCCCACCCCCCTGCCCCAGCCTCTCCTGGGCCGGCTTTGGGGACATGCTGGCAAAGGTTCCCACACTCCCGTGACCTGGGGTGGGGGGTCTGACCCAGGCCACCTGCTGCTGCTGGTGGTGGGGGTTTTCGTGATCTTGTCCCCAGCGAGCTGTGGACATGCGGGGCTTTGCCAGAACGGTCGTCCCTCGCGGTTCCGGGACTCCATCCTTTCCCCTCTGGTTCACCGTCCCCTTTTAGTCTCTGCTCTGACCCACATCTCCTCCGAGCTCAGCTGCATCTCTGCCACTCCCTTTAGCCAGAGAGGTGAGAATGACCCGGACCGAGGGGATCTTGGTGCAGGCACTGGCTCGACCCCACCCGCCTCCGCTTGTTCTGGGGGCACTGACTCTTCTCCATCACATTTTACAGCGCCTGTTCATTTTACAGAATGTTTTCAAAGAGCCAGCTCGGGTTTAATTATCACCTCTGCGGAGCTTTCATTTCTGAACCTGTTTACTTTGGTTTTATCAAAACTGTCTCCGTCTTCTGCTGACTCTGCGGAGAGTGAGCAAGTGGCGTTTGGGTCTCAGGGGGCTCCTGGTGGTGCTGGAGGCTTCCCCAGGGTCCCCCACTGCTGCGCTCTCAGAGGACGTGGCTGCGATCGCCCAGGTCCCTGCCTTGGCTGACTTACTCTCAGGTTTTAGACTCCCCCTTCTCCCATCAGTTAAACTTCATCATCAGCGCTGATATTCGCCATCTTTCTTTCAATAACCACCTTTACATTTTAATCCTGCTTTAGCATCAGTCATGGGCTCACGCTGGTTTAACCAGTTCCTGCTGCGTTTTCAGCCATCCTCCTCTTGGGTTCTTTAATTGGACCTGGTTTCCATCTAATGAGAAGGCAGGAAACACTCCCAAGTTGCCTCTGTTCACACATCTGAGCCAAAGCACCCCCTCTCCCAACCCCCGGCCTCCACAGCACCTGTCAAATCTGATCAGAGAGGATAAAATTCGCTTTCTTGTTGGCACCTGGACACGATGCTGGAATATTTCACCCCTCTTGGACAGGTTCCAGAGCCCGGCCCGCGGCCATCCCCCTAGGTCATCAGCCCAGGGTCAGCGCGTGAGAGACGACTCCATCTTCAGAGAGCGCCCTGGAAATCAGAGACCGCAGCTGAGAGGATCATCGCGGCCACTCTGCTTGGTGGGGATGCTATACCCCCAGCGGGAAACCAAAGCTAGAGAAACAAGCTTATTTTCTTTTCTACTTAGCAAGGTCGCGGTCACCATGGCAATTAAGTGCTACTCCTCAAAACGGACAAAAGAGCCGCTGGTTGGTTTGGGGATATTTGCGATCGTTCAGGTGGAGCTCTGGGGCTGGAAGGGCGATAGATTTCTCATCGTTCTCCGATTTGACTTTCCAGGCACGATCGTCAGCAGCGCCATCTGCAAACATCAGAAAGGCTTTGTCTGTGGCCCAGGGGTCTTCCCTCATCCGCCAGGCCTCCCCGCGGCCCCCTCCCACCGTAGGGCTCAGAGGCCGCGTGAAGGCCCTTAAACAGCAGCAGCTGGCCGACATGCACACCCTCACAGGTCCCTCTTGGGCATGAGCGGAGACCGTCTCCCACTTCGCTCTCACTCATCCAAGAAACCCTGATGGGTTTCCACAATGTCGGCAATGCCCCCTTGGAGTTTCAGCTTGTACTAACCCTTCCTTAGAGCAGGACGCTCAGAACCACAAGTACCCAGGTGCTGGAGGATGAGGCGGGAGGTGGGCAGGGAGGGGTGTTCTCTGAGTGGCCGGGAAACCCCGTATCTCCACTGGATGATCTGCTCGGCTCTGATGACCACCCAGAGGCAGGGCCCTGATCCTCCCGCCCTCCGCACAGGTGAATTCTTAGGAGCCCCCGGCTGGGCAGCAGAGCTGCTGGGTTATCCTCCCTCTGCTTCTGACCCTGGGACAGCCCCACCCTGTCCCGAGCCTCACAGATCCTGTTTACCCAGAGGGACTCTTGGCCTGGGTTCCCGGGGTCCTTGGGGCTTTCTCTAACCTTGGACACCCACGGCTTGCCCCTCCACCAGTGCATGAATCCTTCCTGCTTTCACCTGGTCCTCAGGGACGGAGCCCTGACTGGCCCCCAGCCTGCTGGCCACGCCACCGCCCCCGGGGAGCCCCACACTGTGGGAGCAGCTGGGTGGAGGGGTCACTGTGTCATGGGTTTCCTCTGGCTGCTCTGACACCTCCAGGGAAGTTCTTTCTCACCGTCTCTTCCTTCCCCCCAGATCCTTTCAAACTCCCTGACTCTAGGATCCTGTTCTCTGGTCCCAGGCCCCCCAGGATGTCCCAGGACCACCTCTCTGCCTCCAACCTTACGGGAAGAGGCTGAGGCATACGCGGAGGCCCCAGCCCGGCCCTGGGGCCTTCAGGCTGAGGTCATCCTGGGTGGTCTTCTCCTGGGGGAGCCCTCCAGCCTGGCTGGAGCACTGGTGGACCCCACCAGTTTCCATGGAAACAGAGCAAGGGATGGGCCTGCTTCCCCGCTGGCCCCAGTGCAGCCATCACAGGGAGTGAGAGGCGGCCGGCCAGCACTGGAGCTGAGAAAATGGAAATGAAAATGGGGAGGAAGCAGGTCCCTTCTCTCCACCAGGAAACAGGGCCATCTCGTCAGTGAGGGAAAGCGACTTCCTGCTTGTCCCCTTCCTCCCCACTTGGGCGTGTGGCCGTGGGTCCCTGAGGACGTCCTCCAGGGCAAGGCAGGACCCCGGCTCCTCTTCCCCCCGCTGACCCCACTTCCTTGGGCTTCGTGACCCTCTTCTCCGTCGATGATCAACTCTCAGACCCGTGCAGAGCCCCCCACCGGACACAGAGCCAAGGCCCACACACAGTCCCCAGCCTCCAGGGAGAGACGCCGCCCAGAGACAGATGATGGTGACACGCAAGGCTGGGCCAAGAGCTGGGGACGTGCCCCACCCTGCCAGAAAGACCAGGGCGGGCTTCCTGGAGGAGGTGGCACTGGGGAAGTAACACGGCCTATGGGAGGAACTCCTCCCACTGATGTTTAGTCCTCCACACTTTGTCCAGGGGCTCTCTGACCACACAAAATGGCTGGGGCCATCGCCTGCCTGGGCCTGGATAAAGAGCCGTCTGCCTCAGCCAGCACCGCCCATCCTAGGGCCTTGCCCACGGGACTCCACCTGCCAGCCAGGGACTTGCGCACGGTCTGCCACACCTTGGGGAGCAAACTGGCAGCCCCACCCCCTGGGCAGGGGTCTCAGGTCCCCTCTCCACAGCCTATCAATCCATGTTCGGGCTCTCTCTTGGGAGAGGCGGCGAGCAGAGCCAGGAGGGTCCCGGCTCACCCCTCACCCCCATGTGGGACCTTGAACGGCCCGCAGGCCGCTCTTCCCTGGGACGTGCTTGGTGACAGCATCTCATGGAGCCTGTACGCAGAGGGGCAGCTGGGGGCTCCGTGGGAGAGAGGCTGGGTGCTGTGCATAGTCGCTCAGTCATGTCTGACTCTTTGGGACCCCGTGGGCTGCAGCCTGCCAGGCTCCTCTGTCCATGGGGATTCTCCAGGCAAGAATACTGGAGTGGGTTGCCATGTGCTCCTCCAGGGGATCTTCCCAACACAGGGATCGGACCCTGGTCTCGAGCATGGCAGGCGGGTTCCTTACCAGCTGAGCCACCGGGAAGCCCCCGAGGGAGATGACGGCTGTAATACAGAAAGTCCCCCGAATACGAACCTTCAAACTGAAGTTTCAAAGATGGGAACATGTGTTCACATGTTCACTCACGCATGTCCGTCCACGTGTGCAGCGCACGTGGTCACGTGTATGCATCCTGTCCGCGTGGCTGTGCTTCTGTGTACTTCACTGTGTGGTGCCGTTACCCTGCGGCTCGAGGAGCTCATAATAAAGACCCGACGGACTTGGAGGCCCGGAGAAAGGACGAGGAGGGACGAGAGGAAGGAGTAAGTGAAGAAGCCAAGAGATTCGCAATGCAGGAAGTGGCCAGGGGATTTTCTTTACTTAAGGAGGCACCGTTAGCTCTTGCAGCGTAGCACCCAAACGCAGATGGTGCACGAAGGTTGCAGCAGTTGTTCAGAACGCAATCCAGCGCTACCGAGTCATCTACGATGAGAAAATAGAGCTACCACCCAGACGTCACTGGATCATTTTTTCAAGACAGTCAATAGAATTGCATCCAGCGAGGAGCCAGACCCTGCGCCCTCAGCATCAGGCGTGAGTGGCGCTGCAGCTCGCCCCGTCTCCTGTTGCCGCCGCCCCTTCGTCTCCGCCCTCTCCTGCCCCCTCTCCCCCCTCCAGTCAGTGGCTCTTCTTGCCTGCCTACCGGATGCCAGCCCCTGTGTGCCCGCTGCTGTCCCGGACTACTTACTGTGCTTTTCAAGGTACTGCGCTGTAAGATCAAGAATGTTTATTTTGGGGGTTTGTCTTTCATGTATTATTTGTGAAAAGTATTACAGACCTATTACAGGACAGTACTATATAGCCGACCGTGTTAGCTGGGTACCTGGGCTCACTTTGTTGGACTTATGATCAAATCGGACTTACGAATGCGCTCTCAGCACATACACGGGTTTGTATATGGGGGAACCACTGTACGTGGGGCACGGTGCAGAGACTGGGAGTCAAGAGCCAGGATCCACACCCCAAAGACAGACACACCACACATACACACATACACCCTGCCACACGCAAGTACACACAGCCCCATACGCGCACAGACACTCACACACACTACTCCTAATCTGAGACCCCTCTGGGGGCTCCAGCAGCTGCCTCCGCCTACAGAGAACCATCCTTGGGCCAAAGGGTCCTGCAGGTGAGCCTGCACCAGGTGGGGGGAGCCTGGTGGGACCCCTGCCCCCCTACAGCTCCCCATGCGCTCGGGATCACGGGAAGGAAGCAGGGAAACTCACCAGCGTGGGTCCCCGCAGCTCCAGGAGGCTGGGGCATTTCCCTGGGGGATCTGCTCTACACCCACCCCTCCTGAGAGGCCCCTTGAGTGTCACTGGCTGGCAACCCAACAGATCGGCAACCCACTGCTGCCACAGACATCTCTCTTTTTTCGAAGTCACTTAAATTCAGCTCAGTTCAGTTGCTCAGTCATGTCCGACTCTTTGCAACCCCATGGACTGCAGCATGCCAGGCCTCCCTGTCCATTGCTAACTCCCGGAGTTTATTCAAACTCATGTCAGTGGAGTTGGTGATGCCACCCAGCCATCTCATCCTCTGTCGTCCGCTTCTCCTCCTGCCCTCAGTCTTTCCCAGCATCAGGGTCTTTTCCAATGAGTCAGTTATTTGCATCAGGTGGCCAAAGTATTGGAGCTTCAGCTTCAGCATCAGTCCTCCCAATGAATATTCAGGGTTGATTCCCTTTAGGATGGCCTGGTTGGATCTCCTAGACGACCAGGGAATAAATCTGAGTCGTTTTGAGCCACTGAGTTTGTGGACGCTGGTTTCAGCAGCAATTAGAAAGGAACAGAGCAGGCCTCCCTGGCCGCCCCGCGGTTAGGATTCAACGCTTCCGCTGCAGGGGGCTCAGCGTTGATCCCTGGTCAGGGGAGAACTGAATGCTTCAAGGTGTGGTCAAAATTAAATTAAATTAAATTTGAAAATAAAAATGAGTAAAAATGAAAATGAACAGCCCTCTGGGAGGAAAAAAAGAGAAACCAACAGAGTCCACAAGAGGGAAGGGAGGGAGGGAAGGGGCGGGGGCGGGGCCTGAGGGGGCGGGGCCGGAGGGGTCAGGGGCGGGGCCGGGGCCGGAGGGGCGGGGCCGGAGGGGCGGGTGGGGCGGGGCCGGGGCCGGAGGGGCGGGGCCAGCTCGCCCCCACGGGCCTCCCGCACAAGGACAGCCTGCACCCAAGGGGCTCCCAGGGGTGAGGGTTCATGTGTGCCCTCCACCCACCGCACCCCCCGCCCCGGGTTCCCAGGGCCTGGGACAGAGTTGGCACCCGGCACACCTTCAACTCGAAACTCACTCCGCACACCAGCCCACAGAGACCCCTGGCCCGCAGCACCGTCCATCACTGGCCTGGCTGCCCGAGGCCCGTGCTGGACTCGGGGCTGGAGCTGCAGAGGCTGGCTTGGGTGGCGGGGCGCGGTCGCCCCGGAGGACGACGTGTCTTAAACGGGGAGCAGACAGCCAGGCTTCGGTGTAGGTCCCGTGGGAGCCAGCAGGGAGCCAAGAGCTTGGAGTGGGAGGGCTGAGAGAAGCGCCCTCCCCTGCACCTGCCAGAGAAAGGGGAACTGAGGCGCCTCCCCTGGGACCCCCGAGCGCTCAGAGCAGAGCGCCCCCCACCCCGCGCAACCGCGCATGTGCACCAGACCCCAAGCGCCCCCAAGCTCGAGTAGGCGGCTTTCACAGATCCCTGGGGGTGGGGGGCCTTTCCACACTTAAAGAAGTGAAACAAGGCACAAATGAAAAGATTGATGGATTTGACTACAGAAAATTAAACCTTTTGTATGCCAAAAAAATAACCGAATTTAAAAGTCAGAGAGAAAAAGAGAGGAAGGAAGCGGTGGGAGGCAGAGGAAGGGAGAGGCAGGGGAGGGAGGGGGAGGATGGAAAGGACACCTGCAGTTACCCAGGCAGAGGACCCAGAGCCCCCCCTGGGATGGAGCTCTCTCTGGCAGCCAGCCCCCTGGCGCCCACCGTCAGGAGGCGGCTGAGACAGACCTAGAGACTTGCCCGCGAGCCCAAGTCCCCAGTGCAGGGAAACCTCCGTCTCTCACCTGCTGTCCTGCTCAGAGTCAAGTCACCGGAGCACAGGTGTCGTGACCCCTGGAGGGAGACAGGCCGTGTCCAGCCTCGTCTCCACCTCCGGAGGGGCAGTCCAGGTGGCAAGGATGGGGTGCAGAGGGGTCTCCCTGCAGCGGGTCTCCAGGAAACAGTGCTGTGTTCCGCACCCTAACCCAGAGGAGAGTCCTTGACCTTTGACCCGTTCCCCTCTTTTCGGACATCTGAACCCTAGAAAGAAACTCAAAGGAGCCGGTGCAGCCAGGGCCTCAGGCCCACGTGTCAGCTCCGCCCATGGCCACAGCCCAGTTCTCAGGTCGTGGCTCCCGGCCCGGCTGTGTCTGCAGGGCAGAGAGGGGTGTGAGGTGGGCGAATATTTCTTCCTCTGTCTCTACTCGTAAGACCACAGTCCTGGACCTCCCTGGTGCTTCAGTGGTTAAGAATCTGCCTGCCGACACAGGGGACACAGTTTCAATCCCTGGTCGGGGAAGATTCCACGTGCCTCGGGTCAACGAAGCCCATCCTACACAACTAGAGAAAGCCCACGTGCAGCAACGAAGGCCCAGTGCAGCCAAAAATAATCATTATTTTTTAAAAAAACAGACCACCATCCCATGAGATCAGGGCCCCACACTTACAACCCCGCCTCATGTTAATGACCTCCAGAGGCCCCATCTCCAAATACAGTCACACTGGCCAGTAGGGCTTTCAGCACAGGAACGGGGAAGGGGCACAGTTCAGAGGACAGTGGGCCGCTGGGCAAATGCCCACAAGCTGGAGTTTACAACAGCAGACATTGATTCTCTCACAGTCCCGGAGGCCGGAACTCCCATCCCTGGTGGCGGCACGGCCGGGCTCACTGCCGAGGGGAGGCTCCTGGGGAGGAAACTTCCTGCCTCTCCCAGCATCTTGGCTCTTGGCCGCCTCACCCCAGCGTCCATCTCGGTGGCCCCTTCTCCGCGGGGCTGTGTCCTGTGGGGGCACCTTCATGGCCTGTGGCCTCAGGCCCGTTGTGTCCCTCTAGGCCTCAGTTTCTCCTCTCTGGTCCTGTTCTAGGGGAGCCTGGGGCGGGGGCTCTGCCCTCCACCTTGGAGCCTGTCCAGTCACTGCACGGCCCCTTCCTTCCCCGGTGGACTGGCTGCAGGAGGAGGGTCCTCAGTGTTCCAAGGGGGGGACGGCTCCGGTGGGAGGGGACCGCCCGGCCCTTGCCTGGCCTCCGTGCTGGCCTCGGGCCCTGGAGTCTGGTGAGGCACCTTAGAGACAGCACCTCCTCTCTGCTCAGTTGAGCGTCAGCGGTGGGTTTGCTGGCAGTGGGCCCAGGGGCTTGTGCCCACCAGCCCTGCTGGGTGCTGGAGGCTGCGGGTCAGAGCTCTGCATTACATGGTGGGCTAGGGACCACTCGCACCTCATTTTTCTCCTCTCTGAGAGGGAGTCGTGACCTTATGACCTGGGAGGGCTCCAGGGGGATCAAAATGAATGAGAAAGCAGCGCAGCCTGCAGGCCCAGGGGCTGTGGGCTCAGACCCCACCGGCCTAAGAGCTGGACCACCCTCAGCATCTCCCGCCGCTGGCCTGGGGCCCTGGACCGCCCCCTGGCCCCCAGCCCTCGGGAGGGTCCTAGCCACTCCACAGCTTTCCTCCCTTGGCCGCTGTGCCTGGGACGTGGCTGGGACTCATCAGGACTGACGTGAGTTATAGTCCAGAAGAGCGCAAACACCCCAGTGCCTGGGTACTGGGGCCTGAAAGAAATCAGAGCTGGAACGCCAGCAGAAGATGAAAGAAAAAATGCAGGAAAAGGAGACCATATATGGGGAGAATGCTACATAACCATCGAGAAATTTCCAAAACCCAAAATGCCCTCAGTGACAAGAAGGTGCCTTAGTTACCAGCTGACGCCGGGCTCCGGTTACCAGGCTGAGCAGCGGGTAAGAAAGAGCAAGACGTTCCTCCCAGAAAATGCCCTGCACGCGTGGAACTGTACATGTGCGCACATGCATGCATGGTCCTGTGTGTACATGTGCACACAGCACAGGCAGGCGGCATTTACGTATGGGTAGGTGTGCAAGTGCACACACTGACACGCACACACTGACACGCATGCACACAGAGACACATACATATACACGCTGACACACACATGCACACACAGGCATGTGCACACACATGCACGCACTGACACATACATATACACACTGACACACACATGCACACAGACACGTGCGCACAGAGACACATGTGCATACACATGCACACACTGACACATACATATACACACTAACACACACGTGCACACAGAGACACATGTGCACACCCTGACACACACATGCTCATATGCAGCAAGGGTAGACACCCAGCCTGATTCTGATTTCCTAACAAACACAGGAAGGGAAGCTCAACTGGCTCCAGGCTCGGGGTCCAGGCTGGGGGTGGGGGTGGCAGCTGAAGGGAAGGACAGGATTGAGAGGCAGGGGGCTGAGGGCTGGAGGAGAGGTGGGTACTGCAGGGGCTCCCTTCCAGGGGCCACGGACGGAGGGTAGAGGAACGGGCGTGTGCTGGGACAGGGAGGCTGGGCCAGGCGCAGACCCCAGGGGGCTGGTGTAGCTGACAGCAGGGCCCTGGAGTCGAGGCAGGCACCCTGACCTTGGGG